TCCCTACAGCCCAGCCAACAGAGAATGTTGTCAAGCTTTTTCATTTTGCTGGTCTAATACAGGTGGGAACATATGCCAGTGTAGTTTTAATATGCATTGCTCTTATTTTAAGTAGGACTTGCATTTGGCTTAATTTTCCTTATAATAAGAGTTCACTAAATATTACTAATTAATTTGAGGCTTTTTTCTTTGTCTAAAAGAATGTAAATGTGGGAGATAAAGTTCTCTATGGTCTCTATGGCGTAGTGGAACATAGTGGCTCAATGAGAGGAGGCCACTACACCGCTTATGTGAAAGTGAGAACACCCTCCAGGAAATTACTGGAACATATCACTGGAAAGAAAAATGTACCTGGTATGCCATCCTAAGTTTATTTTATTCTTAAAAACAAATGAATTCATTCTTCCTTTTCTGGAAGAGGTAAGTTCTTTCATGGATACTTCAAGTGGATTCACTTTAAGTGAGGAAAACCTTTAAGAGTACCTAGATAATCTTAAATATCATAAAACTGTACCCTTCAGGTCACGTGAAGTGACACCCAGTTTTTCAAGGTGTTAAGTCATCGTGTATTGCAGTGGAATAGCATTTTTTGTGTGTGTGTGTGGTATGCAGGCCTCTCACTGTTGTGGCCTCTCCCATTGCGGAGCACAGGCTCCAGACGCGCAGGCTCAGTGGCCATGGCTCACGGGCCCAGCCACTCTGCGGCACGTGGGATCTTCCCGGACCGGGGCACGAACCCGTGTCCCCTGCATCGGCAGGCGGACTCTCAACCACTGTGCCACCAGGGAAGCCCTGGAATAGCATCTTATTTAACAATACCAATAGTTTTTAAAGACATACCGGGTCCTCAGACGAGAGTTGGAGTTGAAAATTTGCTTCAGCAAATTAACTGTGTATTTTCTTACTTCTCTTTTAGTGCAGATGCACTTTTCCTTGAATAAATAAATATTCATAAGACTATCTAATATTTCACTAGATATTTAAAGTAAATGATATTAATATTAACGCTTTGAAAGAGTTCATTTTGGAAGATGTTTAGCCCAAGAACAAACAGCCTTATGCAATAAAGTCTAGCATTAGAGTTTGTGATAAATGTGTCTTTAATGTAAAGTCAGAACATACTTACTGTAAAATTATATTTCTTTTTGTTTTGTTAGGTTTGGAAGAACCTGATAGTGAATCAGCAGGCCAGTGGGTCCATGTTAGTGACACTTACGTGCAGGTGGTTCCAGAATCAAGAGCACTTAGCGCACAAGCATACCTTCTTTTTTATGAAAGAATATTATAATTATTTGTTAATTGTTAATGGTAATGATTATTTAGATCACCTTTATTTAAATGTTGCAGCGATAACCATTATATGCAATGTGTCTTTGTAGTCTTTTCTGTAGGAATGGCACGTCCCTCAAATGCTCCTGGACATGTTTACCATTTTGGTGAATCCTTTTAAAGTAAATTAAATTTACTAAATGCTTTCAAAATTATATTCTTAAAATAAATGTAAACACATGTTTTTAAAAACATATTTGTCCTGGAAAAAAAAAAAACAGAATTTACAGTAGTAGAGGAAACTCCTTTATAATGTGGCTTATTACTACAAGCATTCAGAAATGATGCTGGCTAAGTCAAATCATTCCTTTAAAACAGTGTTTCCCAAATGTGAGTCAATACCACCTTTCTGTTTTCATATATATATATGTATATATATCTCCTATGCCATTGTTTACTTATTATTTTTAAGCTTATTTTTTAGGCTTTTTAAGCCATAGTCTTATTTTAAGCATATTCTACATTTTATGTGCTAGTTACATTTTTTTCTAATAAACATTAAAATAAATATATAACTAAAGAAAAATTGCTCATTCATGTAGCACTTCACTGAAAATCATCTCAGGGCTATCCAGTGGTATATTACACTGCTGTGTGGGACACATTGCTATAACATATACTTACACAATTGGCATACTGACCTTGTCATATTTTGTATGATTCAACCATATAAAAAGGTACCACTGTAGCTTCAGTAATATGGATTTACAAATAATATACTGGTTAGCTTATTGCTTTGAGGTTTTGAGAACTGGAAAAATACTGAAATATTTTATCAACATATTATTTGCAGCCTATTCATGATGGAGTTGAGAATAATTTGCAAGTGATTAGCCAAAGTCAGAATATATTTATAGATAATTGTTACATGCAGAATTGGTAAATAGAAGTTGTTAATCCATATGGGACCATAGGATACCTTTGAAATGTAAATTACCAAATCATATTTGTAAATGATAGAGAATTCTATTCTTATTATGCTTAATAGGAAAATGTAATACATTTTCTAGTTCTGTAGATCAGTAAATATTAATCATGGTTTTGGGGTTTTGCGATCACCTTTTGTCTTCAGCAAGCATCATCAGTAAGTTCAAATAGGTTTAGTTTTTATTTTAATGGAGCATAAAGTTGGCATTTTGTATTTTCTTTGAAAATAATTAATAGCAAACATATGGTAGTTTTTCCCCCCTAGAAAACAAATTATTAAGCTGTCAAAACTTGGCATGAAAATGTTACCATTACTTAGGCTTAAATTTTTAAAAAATGACTACTTTGGTGTTACATTATTAAATCAAAACACATAACTGCATGGTTCAAGCATCCTAATCATTAGGGCTAACGAATGATAGTACAGGCAGATGCTGGGTAAGTGCCTGGTCCTAGTTCATTCTCCTCTTGTTAAGGAAGGATAAGAATAGTGGCTGTAGTTAATGTGTGGAAATATTTAATGAAGACTCTCACCCTTCTTAATATTTAAGTATATGTAATATTATCAAGGTTACCAGTGCCGTCTTTTGATATATGGATGAATGGAATTGTGATTAGTGTTAAAGATGGTAATAATATACGAAATTCAGAGCTTAAAAATGTCATTGCATAAATTGTATTTTCAAGCTGTTGAAATTTCAATAATAGTGATTTTCTTGATTTTTAATAGTGAAATGATGGAGAAATGTATCTTTATAAGTTAACCTGTAAACTCAGGTTGTGTCCTGTAAAAGGTAAACAGTGTTTAAAGTGTTTTCTGTTTAATTGTAATGTGTTAACATTGAAGACTTCAGTACCAGAGCAGTGAAATTTTTTGAAAACTATTAGTTAATCCTCTTTATTCAAGTCAACCGTCTTGGTAATGACAATTACCACCCCCTCCCCCAAATGTAAATATTAAATTGTCTCATTTTTCTCCTAGAAAAGATACCATTAAGAGGCATGCAGTTTTCATTGGATGGTCACCTGCTTCTTATTTCATTGATAGATGGATAGATGAAAGAGAGAAAGAAAGAAAGAAAAAGAAAGAAAGAAAGAATGAGGGAAAGGAAGCAAGAAAGGAGGGAAAGAAACAAGACCATTCTTTTCTGTTGCCTCTTGGCTTATCCCTTACAGAGTTAAGTAGAGATGGTAAGTGATAAGTGAGGGCAAGAATCAAGGAAAGTACCTAGTTCCTCTTTTCATTGGATGCCAGGAAATGAACTAGTGCTAAATTTATCAAATTAGGAGATCTTTTAAGCTTTATTCTGAATACCAGTTAAGACTGATTTTTCATTAAGTGAGTGATACATTGTAGCTTCAGAACATTACCTCAGTACTCAAATACCACAGTAGTTTTTATGCTTAACTTCACATTTATTCATTAAGTATATATTTATTGAACATCTACTAAGGGTCCGGCCCTGGGCTGACACTGTTTTAACATGTTTTAAAATGAAGAGGCCTATGTAAGTTTTAGACATTATTCTAGAAGTAATAAGATACTTTTATTTTCATTTCCACAGTGTTAAATGAGTTAATTCTGAAATGTTTTTTTATGGCCTAAAGTTTATGAATGCTTTGTTTGTCCAGGTCTGCTGGTAATGGAATAAATTTGATTTTGAGATCTAAGAATTTCCTAAAGATAGCTTTTGTAATAGAGAAAGTATGTTAAGTTACATATGGATCTACATTTAAATTTTTGTTTTTATTTTGAATATTTCCAAAGCACATTTGCAGGGGTACTAAATTGTGAGCTACTTTAGTAACAGTGGCTTCCAGATGACCTCAGGAAACAGTACAAATCAGTGAGAATGTTTACAGATCCTCAAAACAACTACTATAGTGTTTGGCGAAATGAATTTAAGAAGTAAAACAGGAGTTTAACTAGCTTTATTTAGAAACTGGTTTATATCTAACCTCGGGTTCCCCTAGTTTTTCCATGTTTAAAATGATACATTTTTGACTATATGCCAATTATGTGAATATTTTTGACATAACCAAATTTATGTTTATATTTAAGATTTTTTCATTTAATGTTTTTAAAACTGATGTGAAGCCCACCTTTTTGAGTGGTCAGGGAGAGTGGTGTCAGTTCTAAGAGCAGTTGATACCTGTTTTCTTATTGTAAGTGTGCCAACAAAACTATTTTACTATGATATGTATTTAAGAGCTCTTAGTTTGCATGTTTGACTGTAGTCAATGATTTTATATGATATCTGAATAAAATTTCCTGAGGATTAAGCTGTGAAATATATCACCTTCATCTAATTTTTGAGGTATAAAATAGTACCTTGCCTACTTTTATTAAATTCATACTCATAATTTGTCTGCGTGCTACCTGAAAAAGTAAGCCTAAACCAGATATGTTATGTGCAATAAAAGTGATTCTTTATATATTATCTGCTGCATTAAGAAAGACTATTTTTAGATATTTAAAATGTTCTGGTTCATGTAGAAATCCATCAATTCAAATCTATTTAAAAGATAGATGACTATATTTTTTAATTTTGAGTAATAATTGATTATGTATCATTCCTACCATTTTATCTTTTTTTTTGTAGTGTTTTTGGAAAATAGCTATGTAACTTATGGAGCATTATTTTGATGTTACTGTATAAACATGCATAAAATATTAAATTCATATTTACTTTATGTTTCAAGATTGGTCCTGGAGTTTTTTTCAATGCACATTATTGACAGAATATTTTGTGTACAAACACTGTATTTGCTTACTTAGCTATATTCAAAATATCCTTCCTATTTCAGAAGTTTATCGTTTCCAAATAAAATATCTCATGGGCCTCTTTCATTCAGATTTCAGTGTCTGCCAAGGGTGAGTCTTCATCCTTTCAGATGTTTCTTTGAGTTTTTTAGGCAGGATAATTCATTAGGAAACATTTTGTCTACCTTTTTGTATTTAACCTTTTTTAGGTCATGAAGCTCTTTGAGATTATAATGAATGTTATAGACCATCTTTCATATTTATTGAATATCTGCTGTGTGGTAGGCATTGGGGATACAGCATTGACCACGGGAGATAGAAATCTCTCTAAGAAGTGAGGAAACAGACATTCTAAGAAGTGAAGATTAAAGAAAAGGTATTTCAAATGGTAAATGATACGGAGAAAAATCAAGCAACATTACCCACAGAGCCATATGGGAATTAAGGTCCATGGGATGAAGGATGTTCTAGGGATAAAAGGTGTATGATATTAGTCCTGATAGTCCCAAAGAGAAGCTATGAGTGTTGGAGGAAGTGGAGGGTTTTAATTCTGGGGCCCTCTCCTCACTCCTGCTAATGGCAATAGAGAGGCTGGGAAGGGAAATCTTGGCACGTACATCTTCTTAGAAAAATATATGCCCCAGATTTTTGTATGTAATTTCAGAGGCTCACAGACCCCCTGAAGCCATTTTCATACATTTTTTAAAAATTGCATTCAGGCAGAAATATCTAAAATATTTGCATTCCCATATGTATTAGAATAGGCTGGGTTATGCTGCAGTAACAAATAACTTCACATCCCAAGGGCTTAGCACAACAAAAGTTTATTTCTTCCTCACCCAAAATCACTGTGAGTCTGGTCAATCTGCAAAGGCAACTGTTTTCCGACTGGTGACTGTAAGCCTCTGGCTGCGTGTCTTCTGACTCTATCATTTTAATGCCAGGCCTCTTCACTGGCAGGAGAGGAGAACACCAAAGGTCTTGCTTCAGCAATTAAATTCTTCATCTTGGATGCGTTGCGCACAGCCCAGTGGCCAGAAGTAGTCACATTGGCCCTGCCTAATTGCAAGGAAGGATGGGTAGGAAAGAGTAAGTCTCCCAGGGCTCAGAAGAAAAGGAGAATGGACTAGAAGTCTCTCAGAGTCTACCCTCTGGTCAGCAAATGCTCAGCTCTTCTTTCTACACGTGGAACACAGTGACTCCCTTTTCAAGAGAAACAGCCCCCAAAGGACCATCCACCATTCCAGAACCAGGCTGTCTGGAAGTGCTATGTCAGGTCTGAGTGTTGCTCCCACTGGTCTGGAGACCCAGGAGCCAAAAGAATATGTTCTGTTTTCCACAAACTTACTGTGCAGTGGTGAAACCAGTGGAACTATAACCACAATAAACATTCTAATTCAGAAAGGGGAAGAATGGAGATATTGTCAATCTCTTACCCTGGGCATGGGGAATGTTCATTGTTAGACCTTTCCTCTATTCCCTAAGAATTCCCTTCTCCACTGTTCTCTGTGACTCCAGACTTCACCCCTTGGAAGCATCTTTTTTTTTATTATCCTCCTTGGCTACATCTGAATGGCTGTTGAAGAATATGCCATCCTTGGAAGTTGCACAGCTTTGTTTCAATCTGTTTCCTAGATAATTGGGGGCTGAAGTTGTTTGTTTAAAGTTTGGAATAGTCACAATTTCTGTTAGCCAAGGCTTATGGTTTCTTTTCCAGTACAACTCTTTTTTTTGTTTTTTTTTTGCGGTACGCGGGCCTCTCACTGTTGTGGCCTCTCCCGTTGCGGAGCACAGGCTCTGGACGCGCAGGCTCAGCGGCCATGGCTCACGGGCCCAGCCGCTCCGCGGCATGTGGGATCTTCCTGGACCGGGGCACGAACCCGTGTCCCCTGCATCGGCAGGCGGACTCTCAACCACTGCGCCACCAGGGAAGCCCCATATTAAAGTTTTTACCATTGCATAATGTGACGTCCCTGTTTCTAGCCTCCAATATTAGTTTTCTATGTATACCAATCAACCTCTAAGCTAATGCCACATATTTTCAGTTCTCTGAGCAGCACCCAACTCCTGTTACCAATATCTATATGTGTCCGGCTAAATTAGGCTTGTGCTTTATTAACAAATGTCTCCAGAATCTCAGCAACTTATTTTGTGGTCATTGCAAAGTCTTTCGCTGATTTGGGGCTCTTTCTGGCCACTGTTTCCCATAAGGCAACTCAGTGATCATGGCTGACAGAGAATATACCAACCTGTAGCTGCCCCTTTATCTGCCTGTAGACTTCTTGGTTGATGTGACAATGCTTACAGTTCTTGTAAGCTTAGGTCCAGAAATAACTGTCATCACTTAACCCACAGCCCATTGGCCAGAACTAATTCACTGAGTACTACTTAAACTTTATGGAGGCTTAAACCTTCTGTGCGCTGTAAGTCAGTGGAGAATCAGATATTGGTGAATACTAATAATGTCTACTACATCATACAAGTGACTTAAGTACAGAAACAGTAGTTTGAATCACAAAAGATTTTTAAGTAAGAATATGCCAGTCGGTGAACATAGGTGTACCTTACTTTCTCCAATCTGGTCTAAATGGTCATTACATGCATAAAGCCCAGTTTGGTCCATTTTTTGGGGGGGTTTTTTCTTAATTTATTTTATTGAAGTATAGTTGATTTACAGTGTTGTCTTATTTTCTGCTGTACAGCAAAGTGATTCAGTTATATACTTGTGTAAATTCTTTTTCATTATGGTTTATTACAGGATATTGAATATAGGTTCCCTGTGTTATACAGTAGGATCTTGTTTATCCATTCTATATATAATAGTTTACATGGTCCATTGTTAAATAACTGAATTATTATTGTATGTTCTCATATTTCATTATGACACATATTCTCACTACTTTCTAGGAGATGCTTAAGTAAGATTAAAATAGTTGTAATTTATTAAGAATTTAAACAGTTGTTTTAAGAATTATTATTTAAGAATTAAAAGAGTTGTAATTTTTAATAATTTGCTTGTAGCGTATTAGCTTTATATACTTTTTAATCCTCCATTGTAGTTCTACTGTGGTAAAGTAGATGTAACATAAAATTTACCATTTTAACCACTTTTAGGTGTACAATTCAGTGGCACTAAGTACATTCACAATGTTGTACAAATATCACCATTTCTAGAACCCTGTCCTCATCCGCAACAGAAATTCTGTGCCCATTAAATAATAACTCCCTATTCCTCTCTTCCTCCAACCCCCAGCAACTGCTATCTGTCTCTATGAATTTGCCTATTCTAGGGACCTCATATAAGTGAAATTATACATTTGTCCTTTTGTGTCTGTCTTGTTTCACTTAGCGTAATCTTTTCAAGGCTCATCCATGTTGTGGCATGTATCAGAATTTCATTCCTTTTTAAGGCTGAATAATATTTGATTGTATGTATATACCACAGCTTTAAATAATTTTTTATTATATAAGTTTCATATATACAGCATTATAATTCAACATCTGTATACACTACAAAGTGATCACTACCACAAGTCTAGTTACCATTAAATAATTTTTATTCTTAAATTTTAAGATGGGTGTGATATGGAACATAACACCTTAAAGGTTCAGATCTCAAGAAGTAGGAATATTTAATTCTGTTTCTTTTCCACCAAGGTGCAGAATGACTGGACTGCAGCAGCTCGTGTACACAATAGCTGCTCAAATAGACACTTTAATACAAAAATACATTGTGAGAAAGTCTGGTGTTGAAATACATGCAAGTGCCTGATGTCTCCTTCGAATCCTAAAGTTACAGGGAAATCCGAGGTGAAAGTAATGAGGGAAAGGGAAATATGGGACTGTAAAACTCATTTCCTGGTCTGGCAAACAGTGATTGCTGAGAGTGCCTCATTAAACTGGCAGAAGGAACAAACGTGAGTTATTTAATAATTCTCTCATTCGACAAATGGAGAACTTTCTGTATGCTAAGCAGTACGCTGGCCAGCTGGAGAACAGAGATGGGAAAAACAAAAAGCAAAGAACTACCAGAAAACTGCTTCAACTTTACTAGGGAAACAAGCAAACAAATACAAGATGGTTATAGAAAGTAGGAACATATGAAAGTTTCTCTAGGGCAATCAGGTTTCACAAGGAAGATAGAGTGTTTCTCTGATTAGAATGTTTCTCAGAGAAACTTGAAAATCAGGCCCTGGGCAAAAACTTGGAAAGTGATCACAGAGCAAAATCAGAGACGACCACTGATAATACGTGGTAAATGTCCTAGTTTTTGTTCCATAAAGTGATTTAAAAAAACATACTGGGGAATTTCCTGGCGGTCCAGTGGTTAGGACTCCATCCTTTCACTGCCCTGGGTCCAGGTTCAATGTCTGTTGGGGGAACTAAGATCCCACAAACCGCAGGGCTGGCCAAAAAACCCCCAAAATAAATAAAAATCGCACTAGACTGTTGTGTCATCCTTTTTTTTGTGTGTGTGCTTTTTTTGTGAAATTATGGAAAGGGTCAAAGGAACCAAATTTTCTTTTTGCCTCCAGTAATACTATGCACTCACATTATTGTGTTGGTAGAGGTGTAATTAGTTATCACTTCTCCCAAGATGAAGTTGTATTTTGTGGGCCACTTGGATTTGAGGACCAGCGAATCTTTAGCTATTGAGGACTTTGTTCTAACGCTGATGCAGGAGAATCTGGGTTTCAAGTGTTTCTTCAAGAAGACTGGATTTCATGCAAACAGGATCTGTTCTCACGTCTATCTTTATCTTCTTTATCCATCTAGATGTATTCGTAATATTTTATTTCTACTGTTATTTGCTTTCTTTTGCACAATTCCCAATGAAACAATTTAGATACTTGGTGCGCAAAAGTTTCATGTTACTCTCTAGAAAAGCACTTTCCACTATTTATTTCCAATATTTATTTTCCAATGTATCTTCGGAACATTTTTGTTTTCTTTGTAGCTTCTAGCCTGGAAATCGATACTTTTGATACCTGAACGTCGTTCATATTAAAACACCATGGAATCAACGTATTCCATTCGAAGAACTTAATTGCGTAAGTCCTGTCGGGAGGCCATCTTGTGGTTGAGAGAAAGGGGCAGCAGGATGGAAACGGGACGTCTCCGCCACTTTACCCTAAACGTCCCGGGGAAGGAACGAAACAACAGGACTAGCAGGGTGAGGCGGAGCTGAGCAAGTGTCCCCGGAAGGGGGCGCTATGTTTTCGAGGTTAACAAAGAGTGACAGCTGCGGGGGTCAGCTAAGGTCTCCGCTATAGCTACCATCTACACCGGTCACTTCACCAACGTCCGGTCTCCCTGGAGGCGGAGCCCTCGGAGGCGCTCCGTGAGACCCAAGTCGGGAGTGTTCCGGAATTTCGGGCCAGACTCTGGTCGGTGTGAAATACGGCTAAGGGCCCACCGAGCAACCCGCCGGAGTTGGTTCATTTGACCCTGGGGCCCCTCCGTAGTCTGAAAGGAGTGCCGCGAACTCAACCCACCTTTTCGGAAGGGAACATACCTCCCCTTGAAGGAGGATCACGTTGCTAAAGTAAAAATTTTGAGCGCGCTTTGTACAGAACACTCAAACTCTTGCCTTTCTGCCCACTGTAAAGATAAAAGTGGGTCGGGCATGGCGCTGGCTACGTTAAAAGGTAACGTACAGGAATGTCCAGAAATTTGCATGGTGTTGACTACATAGTCGAGGTGGTTTTGCCCATAACAAAAATGGCGTTGAAACATGTTAACCGGGTACAGTCACGTGGTCAAAGACCTGGCTGGGGGACAGTATGGCTTCAGATGACAAACGGATGTTATTATTATTCACTTCCGGGTAAGACTAATCGGGCGCCATCTTGTCTTGTTCGCGAAGAAGTAGAAGCATCGAAAGGGTTGGAGAGGTATTATAGGAACGGTGGCGACACAGTGTTCCGGAATCAGAGTGGGTAAGTGGTGGAGAACGATTAGGCGTGGGGACTTTCCGGGTCATTAGAATCTTCTTGGTTTCTGTGGCGAAGGTAGCATAACTTAAACACGTAGGCTGCGTACGCTGCTTGGCGCGACCGCTGGAACCTCATCTCCCTTAAAGCGGTGGCGTCCGCCTGACTTGGTGAATCACGGCGCTGCTCCCGGTTTAAAGGAAATGTTCGTATTAAGGAGAGTGCTCGCGACCTCTCCCTCTAACTGTGAGAGTTTCCTCTAGGAAGAGAAGGGAGTGATTGTTGGGCTCGCGACCGGCCGTTAAGCACTGCGCGTGCGCAGTGGGAACCCCCCTGGGCGGGGGGCCCCCCCCCCCCCCCCGCTTATGGGGAGGGGGTGCAGGGGAGCAGAGGAGGCTGGGGCCCGGACCTGGACCTTCTCTGCTGTGCACCTCCGATTCCGCAGGCGCAGCGAAGGGCAACTGTGTCCTTTTAACTAACTACGGTTAGGTTCCTTAGTTTGTATTAACCTTGTGTTTAAGTCATAGACACTATGTGTTAAGTAAGCTTCGGGAAAGAAGGAGGTAGCTTCCAACGTTTCAGTTTTATTGTCCTGTGATGGATATTATTGTCATCTGAACATCATGGGTGCTCGACACATTTTGGTTGTTGGTGGTTAATTCATAGAACAACAAAATAAACTTGGAATTTCCGGTTTGAGTGCAGCAAGGGAAATGCAACAAAAACCAGAATCTTGAAGGTGTTTTGTAAGGTGTTACGTGGCTGTAGGTAAGGTAACAGTAAATCAGTTCTTTTAAGATGGTGTTGATTGAGACCGTGTGTTAAAATTTTGTTGTTGTTGTTGTTAATAGACTTTGCTTTTTTAGGACAGTTTTGATTTACAGAAAAATTGAGCAGATAGTACAGAGTTACCATATAAACTACCCCCCAACCCCCCACAGAGAGTTTTTCCTACTGTTAACATATATTAGTATGGTACATGTACATTTGTCACATTGAATGGACCAATATTGACACATTGTTATTTAAAGTCCATAGTTGATTCACATTTCCTAAGTTTAAACCTAATGTCCTTTTTCTAGCCCAAGATGCTATTTAGAACACAAGATCCTATAACATTTAATTGTCATGTGTCCTTAGTCTTCTTTGGTTGTGACAGTTTTTCAGGCTTGTTTTCTATGACTGTTACAGGCTGAAAATTCCTACAGTGAAGACCTAACTTCAGTGCCTCAGAATATGACTGTATTTGGAGATAGGGTCTTTAAAGAAGTAAAATGGGGTCATTAGGGTAGGCCCTGTGTGCTATAATGGTGTCCTTATAAACAGAGCAGTACACTGAGGGAAGACCACATAAAGACAAAGGTAGGAGACAGCCATCTACAAGCCAAGAAGAGAGGCCCCAGAATGAAACCCACCCTGATGACAGTTTGATCTTGGACTTCTAGCCTCCAGAACTATAAGGAAATAAATTTCTGTCGTTTGAGCTACCCAGTCTGTGGTACTTTGTTCTGGCAGCCCTAGCAAAGTAATACAGTGACCTTGACAGTTTTGAGGGGTACTGGCTAGGGATATTGTAGGGTGACCTGCTATTGGTATTTGTCTGATGTTTTTCTCATGATAAGACTGGTATTAGGGGTTTTGAGGAAGAAGATCACAGAGGTAAAATGCCTTTTTCATCACATTCTCTCAAGGCTACATACTATGAACATGACTTATCATGTTGATATTGACCTTGATCACCTGCTTGAGGTAGTGTTTGTCTAATTTCTCCACCATAAAGTTACTCTCCTCTGTCCACTCCCTCCTTTCCATATTGTACTCTTTGGGAAGGAAGTCCCTTTGCACAAAGCACACTTAAGGACTGGAGAGTTAAGCTCTCCCTCCTTTAGGGTGGAGTATCTACATAATTTATTTGGAATCCCTCCGCATGGAAGATTTGTCTCTTCCCTCCAATTTATTTATGTCAGTAGGATTCAATAGATATTTATGTCATAATTTGTGTTATAATCCAGTACTACTTTATTTTGTTGCCCAGATTGTTCCAGTTTTGGACATTCGTAGCTCCTTCAGTTGTCTACTGTGCACCTTTGACATGCCCCCATCTTCCCACTCCCCCCTTTTTTCCCCTCCCCCTTTTTCTGAGCATCTTCTTACTTCCTGGCACTACAAGATGCTCCAGGCTCATTTTGTATATTTCTTGCCTCAGTTCTAAGAATCAGCTATTTCTCTAATGATCCTTTGTTAGAGAATGGTATTAGAACAAGATAAGTGTTCTTGTTGCCACTGAGGGGTTGTTTCCTTTAGGCTTTTTACATTTCTTTTTTTTTTCTTCCAAATTTATTTTTCAATTATCACTTTTTTTGTGGTATCTATAACCAAAGTATTCAATTCTCCAATATTTTTTGACTACCTTTCTTGAGCTGCAGACTACAAAGTATTTCAATATATACTAAAATGCATGTCACATCAAGTATCAAAAAAGGTTACTACATTTCAAATAATCACAAGATTAACTTTGTTAGTGCCATTTCCACCTAATCTGAATTGATCCAAATGATTTCTTTTTGACTTTGAGATCCATTACCTGGGGTGTAAGACTGAAGTGGCAGGGGAGAAGAGGATTGTTGCGTTTTGTGGTTTCTAAACTTTGTGTTTGATCTGAGAAACATTTCATTATATGCACCAAAGGATGGGTGTGTTACTGTATTTCTTTGATTTTACAATTGATGCTTAAGGGCTTTAAAACAAGCACTACAGTTTCATTCTCATTTATCTGTCACACAGTCTAAGGGATGACTTTTGCAAATATTAATGTTTGTGATTTAAGCAAGTAATTTTAAGAACCTCAAAGCAATGAATGTTCTAATATAGAGTCGTGTAAGAAATAAGATAAATGACAGTGATTTCTGATTGTGTTAGTTTCTTAGGGATGCTGTACCAAATTACCACAAACTGGCCTTAAAACAACAGAAATTTGTTCTTTCACAGTTCTCCAGGCTACAGATATGACTGAAATAAAGGTTTTGGTATGCTCATGCATGTGTGCTCGACAGTCCTCCCTCCCTCCCCGCCCCCCCCCTTCTTTTCTTTTCTTTCTTCTCTCTTCTGTCTCTGCTCTAGGGGAGGATCCTTCCTTGCCTCTTTCTAGTTTCTGTTGGTTCCCAGCAATCTTTGGCTTTCCTTGGCTGTAGACACTTTATTCCAGTCTCTGCTTCTGTAGTCATGTGGTATTCTCCCTGTCTTGTGTCTTCTTCTAAAAGCACTAATCATTACTGGATTAGGACCTGCTTTAATCCAGTATGACCTCAACTTAACTGGACTATGTTTGCCAAGACCCTATTTCCAAATAAGGTCATGTTCACAGTTAATGGGAGTGGAGGTAGGACTTCAGCATATCTTCTAGGGGGACACAAGGCAATCCATAGCACTGGTCAAATTCATAAACTAGATTTTTATAGCTCTGTGCGATAATGTGCATAATCTGCAGCAAATCCTGGCTGTTGATCTTTATGTTCTTCCCAAATCCCAGTTGTTTCCAAGGAAATAGCAATTAATTTAACCCTGTAAAGGGAAAGTCTTGTAGCCTGGCTCATCAATAATCACATTTCTCTAAACTTGAGAAATGGAGCTTAAGAATCTTTAAAATTAAAGCTAAAGGAAGAATGAATAAATTGGAATTGAGTTTTGATGTTATAAAGTCAGAGTAGCAGTACTAGAGTGTCATCTTCATTGTTGAATATTAATATATTTACTTGATAATAAATTTCAGTTAATGAGTAAAATATTTTGCCACTTAATATGGGCAAAGCACTTTGGAGAATTCAAATAACTATTAAGACATTTCCACTGCCCTCAAGAAGATTCTCCTTTGAGCCAAGACAAAACACGTGAAGATTTTCATGACCAGCTTCCTGATTCTTCGTATCTTTAAAAATCTGTAGTAGATTTATTTTAAAAAATGCACACTCATGGTTAAATAATTCAAAGAATATAGAAAGATAGTGAATAAAAAATTAAAATTAACTCATCTCTGTTTTCCCTCTCCAGAGCTTACCAATTTTAAGAGGTTTTTGGTAATTTAGGAATTTTCTATACTAAATTGTGTTTTTCTTTAAAAAAAAGGAACTTCAAGTGGCATCATTATTCATCCTGTATCACATGATTTTTTTCACTATACAATTCATAATACAGTTCGTACATCAGTGTATGTCAGCATATAAAAGTCTATTCATTTTAATGGCTGAATAGGAGTCCACTGTATGGTTCACTCTTGTCTCACCTACTGCCCTTTGAGTGTCACTGAAAGCAGATGTTCACTGTTACAGACATGCTGCAGGGTTTTGAGTTACATGGTGTGTATGCTCATCCATGGTTTTAAGTCCTTGAAGTGGAGTTGCTGGGTCAGAGGGATGATTATTTACAATTTTGATAAAATACTTAGTGCTAACTTGTCTTCCAAAAAGACTGAACATTTGGTGTTTTACCTACACCCTTGTTCAACACACCCTCTGTAGCCAAATAGTTTCTCAATTGCAGATTTAATTGAAGCATTTTATTAAATAGCTTCTAACTTCTTACTTCCTTGACTTTTACTGTTACCTTCTTTGCTGCGTTTTAGTCTGCTCTGTTTCTCACAATTTCACATCCTTTCCATATTTTTCTCAGCCTAAGTGTATCAATCATTGTATTTGGATAATAGCTTCTATAAAAACTTTAGGGGGAAAAGAGCTTTGGAAAGCCTAGTAAAACTGGAAGCAGTTGGTTTTAACAAACAGAAAAATGGCTACAAATAATACAGATCACTCTTGAAAATTTGCAAGTAAAAGCTCTTTGTGCGTAGGAAAACATGGAAGTTTTTGTTTTGTTTTAATAAAAGCTGCAACCTATGATGTTGTGAGAAGTAGGGACATTCCAAAGATAAAATGAAATCTGGATAAGTCTTAGATTGCTTTAAGAGAAGAAAATGGAATTGAGTAGAAGTGGATTGGCTTGATCACCCGTCCCCACCCCCAGTTGTAAACTTGAGTGCTATCAAAAACAATACTGAGAAAGTCTTAGTGGTGATATTGACCACTACTTATTGAAGCTTTCTGTGCCAAGTATTTATGTTTCCCATTTAATCCTCACAATAACCCTATGAGGTAGACATTTATTACATTCACCACTTCACAGATGAGAAAACCAAGGATTAGAGAGTAGTTAATTTGCGCATATTCACACAGCTAGTGAGTGGTATGGGCAGGCATCATGAACCAGGGCTGTGTTCTTAAGTCTAAGTGACAAGTGGTAATCAGAAAACTTAAAAGGGGAATTGAAAACGTTGGCCGTGATAACCATTAAACAGGAGTAAGTAAAAGAAACTTAGTTTAGAGTGATTTCTAGAAAAGTCTGTGTATTGGAAATGATGATAGGGAGTCAATATACATCATTTTCATCATTAAAGTGGTTTTATTGTGTGCACATCTATTTGCAACTCCAGTACGCACTGTGTAGCGCTAGTTATAATGCCTACATTGTATGAGTTTACAACCTACGACAGAAAAATCTATGCACTGAACTCTGATGTGCCATTAGAGCTTTGGAAAACATAGCAAGCTCTGCTTACACCGGCTTTTTTGGTTCTCCTGTATATAGGTCAACAGCTTTCTTATCATTAACCTTTAAAAGTAAACAGAGGGAAAGAAGAACCTATAGACCATTCGTTTATTCATTTGTTGCTTAGTGACTGTTGGTCACTTGCTTTAGGACAGCAAGAAGCTGTCTGGTACCTTTGGAAGGTAAAAAGATGAATACATTTGTCTTTCTATCAGCTTTAAAAAGGTATTAATCTGGGTATTAATCTGGGGACTTCCCTGGTGGTCCAGTGGTTAAGACTTTGCCTTCCAGTGCAGGGGGCTGCAGGTTTGATCCCTGTTCGGGAGCTAAGATCCCACATGCCTCATGGCCAAAAAACCAAAACATAAAAACAACAGAAGCAATAATGTAACAAATTCAATAAAGACTTTAAAAATGGTCCACATCAAAAAAAAATCTAAAAAAAAAAAATTAATCTAATGGGAAGAAGATGAAACCGTTTGAGGGACAAGTTGTTCTCACCTTGCTGATGTAATTTTTAAACTTAGAATTCCATAGAAAAATCTGAATTTATTACCTTATTTGTACCATTTAAGTTCGTATCAGATGGATGAAATCTTTTAAAATGTTTGTTGTTCCTTTTTTTCTCAGCATATATGACAATTCCTAAATTGCTTGACATTATTTTATATTGTTAATGAATTGTTCAAGTAAATAAAAAAGATATTTTTGAAAGAAAAATGTTTTTAAAGCTTTGCCTTCTCATTTCTGATGTACCTGTTTCCCTTAACTTTATAATGGTAAATCTTTTCTCATAAAATTAATGGAAGAGAAAGTTCAAATTAATTTGGAGATGATCACACTTCTGTGTTGCATCTCTAGAATTTATTTTTATTAGTTCAAATAGCTTTTCATAATTTAAGTGCAAACATACACTTTTTTTTTTTTCAGGGCATAAGTAATCTTGCTGCTATGCTTCCAAGCTGTAGTTCTGAATCAACCTAAATTTTAAACAGAAGGTGAACCTCTGAGGTCAGTCAAAATAGCAGTTGGTATTTCTTCTGGGTGTTCCTCTTTATTTATTTAGTTACCTTTTAATTAAAGTTTTCAAGAGTGCTAATGAGTTATTGGTCTTTAAAGGGCTTTAAAGGTATAGTTGGAAAAGAGGAGAGGGAAAAAAGAAGAGAGAAAATCGGAAGA